TATCAGGTCGTAATAAGAGTGTGTGTGTGTGTGTGTGTGTGTGTGTGTGTGTGTGTGTGTGTGTGTGTGTGTGTGTGTGTGTGTGTGTGTGTGTGTGTGTGTGTGTGTGTGTGTGTGTGAGAGAGAGAGAGAGAGAGAGAGAGAGAGAGAGAGAGAGAGAGAGAGAGAGAGAGAGAGAGAGAGAGAGAGAGAATGATGGCAGAGAACAGAGGTTAGACCATCAGGCCAGAGAGATAAGATACAGCTTGATCCTCCAAAAGCTCTGGATTGCAGGCAGGACCAATCACACGCCTCCTTTACTCCCGCCAGTTCACCGGTGCTTGTTTGTGTGTGTGTTAGCATGCATTTTCTACTCGCGCATACATGTTTTAGTGTCAACATGCATTGTTTCACCGTTCCTGCTGAATGGCCTCCTCTATTCACACATAAATCAGCAGCACGGCACGGATACACATCCAGATAACCGACCTCAATGAAAAGCAAAAATGTTCTGCTTTGGAAATTGTGTTTGAACTGAATGATGCCTGACATTTATAAGGAAAGAAATACAAAAAAGTACCTTGCACTGAATTCTCTGAGAAATCACACGAAAATATCAAAAGATCCCACATAGATCCATGATGTAATGCTCCGAGGAACCACAGTGAAACCAACCAATCATCGTCCTTTGAAGAGCAAATGGCAGCTAGGGCCGTGGTTTAGGTGACGAGACACAAAGAGACGACTGTTTGAAACAGAGATGGCTCCGAAAAAGGTGAGTACTGATGGTGAATGGTGCATTAATGTGTCCTAAAACCACGGGAAAAACGTAGCGTTTTACCTCTTCTGGTTCCCTTGTCTCGAAGTAGGTGGTTATTTGCGAATGGAGAATGTAAGTTTATGTGTCAGTAAAAGGCAGTTGCTAACAAGTGACAAAATAAACGACTAAATACCATGCGACATGATGTAGTTTGTGTATAGCATTACGTTAGCTTTGTATTCCTGCCGATATCATTCACGCTTCAAAGTCCCAGAGTGGAGATTATCATGCTGAAAAAAACATGTAAATATCATAAATGTGTGTTGGCCACAAAGCTTACATTCATAAATACATACATACATACATACATATATCAAAAAAACCTACGGGGAAATCCAACTGCTTTTTGTCAAAGGACCCGTTGTGATTCTTACTTCCGGCCAACAACAAAACGTCATCACTACACCACTCTCTATTTCTTTATCGAAAGAAGAACTGAAGCTTTTTCTCAATGTAAAAGTTGAAGAGATACTGCTTTCCAAATCAACTGCCAAGTTCTGTTGAAACTGCCTTCCCTCTTTCCCAAACAGTTTCCAATGACAGCTTCTCAAAACATCTTGAGTCGAGGACAACATGTTAATATGGCGGTAAATCTGTCTTTTTCCATTTCAAAAAGCTCTAATCTGGAGAGGGAAAGAAAAGAGGTAATCCATGTAGGACACACTGGGCCTTCAGACGGGTGTTTCAAGCGTAAACATGCTGTGTGTTTGTGTCTATGTTCACCTGATATGATCCCCCAGTGGTAGATTCATCTTCTTTTACAGATTATTCCAATTCCCAGCCTCCCCTTGGACACTTTATCTTTTGCCATTTCCAGTAATGAAGAAACGGAAAATGATTGCGAGTCATCTCAGTGGAAGCGTTGCAGTACATCAACAAATATAAATCAAAACATATTAGAGGAAAAAAACAAACGGATTCAAACACCCACAAACATTCACATAGCGCTAAGATTAGTCCGTCATTCAAGACGGACTATTCTCGATTTTCCTTTCATTTGCCGGCTACATTTGCCGGTGTCAGGATGAGCCAGGAGCAAATCCATTTGCATCTGCAGAGCTACTAATCTTCACAGCTTTCAGGAACACAGCAGCCCATAATGAGTGGTTGCAGGGCAGATCATGTTAGCATAATTTTTAAATGAGAGCATGTGTGTGGCACTGTAATAATAGCATCTCAGTATGCAGTGTGTCAAGTGGGTGAGTGTGTTCTGTTTCAGCCTTTCATGTGAATTACAGTGAGCAAGGGATTCTTCCCTCCTTATGTTTATGACCCAAATGCATCTTTTTAAAATCTGTAAATTCTGTAAACTTTGCCGTAGCACAAAAAGTGGTTTTGAAATGTTGTATTGAAAAGTAAAATAGAGACCGTTAGCAGTGATGATTGTGTTGGTCCCAATCAGGAACGATCAGACTGAATCTGCAGAAGAGCGATGTTCTTTGGATGCAGACATAATAAGCTTAATAAAAAGTTCTGTTAGCTTTTAGCCGTTAGCCGCACACACTTTCAACGACAGTCCAAACTGAAGCGCTAAACTTGAGAATTAGTGCAATCTATCGGAGGTTCTTGACAGTTATTCATTTGCATACAAAAAATGTGACTGATTGATCCAGTAGGTCTAAAACGGAGATGTCCAATACACACACACACACACACACACACACACACAACTGAATGCAAGAGTACCACAAATATTCTAGAATATTTAGAACCTCATTTGCCAAAACACATTATGCCTAAATCTCTTTTCTCTCAATGCTGTCCTTCAACAGTCAAAGATCATTTGTGATAAACGTGTTTATCTAAAAGCA